TATATATATATTTTATAATTTTGTAAATTATTAATTTAATATAAAAATGCTCGCTGTATAACTGTAATAATCGTTGACGTTTAGGGTTTGAAAATATTTAATTAGTTTTTGTTTCAATATTCGTGTTTTTTTTTTATTTTTTTTTTTTTTGTTAATACAAAATGCAATTAATTTCAAAAGCATAATGTATTATAACGTATTATACAGGTAACTATTAATAGAAACTAAAATATGTTATTTGTTGATAACGTAATATTTCGCATAGAAATGTGGTGCTTTAAGACATTTAATAAAAACTATACAAACGTATAAGTGTTCCTCGGCGAGGAACAATAACCTTGGTAATGTATTACTGACGACGGTAACCAGACTTGCAATTAATTTAAATAGTTTATTTTCACATCATGAAATTTCAGACAACGCGTCCTGCGATTTCAAAGATGATCATACTGCACGCACAGTATGTGCAGAATACGTTATAGTAGTCGCATTCTGAAAATACGGTACGTTTTAATATCAATGTTAAAACTATTAAAAGTCCGATTTACCAAGTTTACGGACCGTGAAAGTGAAGCTCACGAAAAAAAAAACAAAGGAAGGATGATCATAAAACTGTATGAACCGGGGATTCATTTGCAACTTCCTGCCAAGAAACGACAGGAATTAGTCGACATCATCTTCTGATGCCAAAAATGCACTAATATCGTACACTCTTATATTGACTACGGGATGTGTCCGGGGCGTTTAATTTTAATTTTCTTCGGACGCAGTGGAGTGGGAAAATATTTCAATTTTTTTCGAAAACACACAATATAACATTGTATAATATTTATGGGTCGTAAGAAACAAGTATCCGTGTAATCCGGAAAGGGTAGTGGTACAAACAAATGCTCATCTGTTTTTTTCAAATTCTATCGATAACTATACACATATGTTGTTATTTATATATTTGGCAGTAAACATTTTCGAATAAATCGATATCTTGACGTAAAAAAATTGATTCTTAGGAGAGAAAATAAAACCATTTTTTTTTCTAAGAATCCATTTTTTTCACAGCATCTATGATATAGGTTTTGAATCTATGACAGGTATGATTAAAAGTATGATATTATATCATCGAGTGTTTGTAGAGCTGGTTTTCATCAGATGCCAACCAAATGAACTGCGTAATGAACAGCATCGGAAAAATGTTGATAAATCGCATAAATGTTTAACGGTCCGTGGCATCTTCTTGGTTATACATTTTTTTTTTTCATTGTCAAGAAATATTTATCGCAGACCGAATGCTTAGGCTTAAAAAATTACTCGTGGTGTGAATGCAGGTAAGAGCGGTAGAACTTAGAAATTAAGCTGCATATATAATCGGTGATCGAGGATTTTTTCTTTTGTTTGGTCCGCTGTTTTTGCTGATTTTTCGATTCAAAAATGTTCACAAAAGTTTTAATCTTGTCTCATAAATAAATATCTAATCCGATCCAATTCCATATGTTACAGTAATAATGCGTGTGTATTAATAAACTGTTCAATCATAAGAATATAAAGTAGAATCAAAATTAAAGCACAGGTGGGATTAATTGTTATTCTTATTATAAAATCAAATTGCCTATAAATTAGATTTCAAAAATATATTACATTGGTTTTAAAGTACTGAAATAGAGTATAATATTTTAATATTAACAAAGAAAAATGTACTGAGATCACGAGATCAGGTGTGTTGCGTGTATTATTGTTAATAATTTTCAATTTGTGTTTCTTAATAACGATATTAAATACTATCACATTGCAAATTTTTATTAATTAAATTAGATTATGTATTTTTAGAACCTTAGGTACGTTATAACCTACACCAAAAGAGTATGACATTTTGCATATAGAATATGATGTGAATAATTGTTGAAATAAATCATTATTGATGAATTAATTTAATTTTATTTAATTATTTTACTGACGATTGTTATTATTAACCGAAGGATCTGGAAAATAAAACCTTAAAGTGTTCACTTCATGTGGGTTTTTTGAAATAATAGGTTCATAGGTTACGGTTGGATGGTTTAGCATTTTGCGTTATTTTTTCCATTTGTTCTCAATTTCCTTTTAAAATATTATAAACGATTGAAAAATATCAACAATAGTTTGGTGGGCTAAGTATTATTATATTATAATAATATAATGAAAAAGAATACAGTTATCACATTCAAATCCAAATTGACTAAATTCCAAAGCTACTTTAATGCAAAAAATGTCGATTCGTCCAGTTGAATATAATACGTAATAAAAAATATATAAACCAATTTTGTGTGATTATAGACACTTATTATTACGTTCTTATTAGTTGAAGACATAAAAAAATAAAAAAACAAAAATTATAATATTTAAAACGGCTGGTAACAGTGTACATAATAATAATAATATTACGATATAAATTAAATCACAATTATTTTTATTATTATTATTATTATTATTATTATTATTTACACGATAAAGCTGACTGTGAACGTTAACTGTTGTATTCACCGCAGCGGCTTAAAACGCAGGCCCGACTTGAAGGGCGCAGAATGTTACTGCAGTTATCACGAAACCGAATCTTCCGCCACCGGTGGCCGTCTTACACGCGTATACGTTTGCAATACATGTTGTTAATGATGTTACTACAACAAACAGTGTGTACAGTGTTGTAAAGTGATTTCATAACCTATTCGCATATCAACGTGCACAAATCTGAAGAACATTTTACAAAATGAGCTCATCGTGGGGCACGAGGATTTATTATCGATTGCCAAAATATTGCCTCCTATTGGTCGTAACAACGAAGGTATTAGTATTAAAATACAATTATTTTTTCACATATCAATACTATTCCTCTGGGCTAAAAACAATATTAAATATAAATTTATTATTATTATCATTATTTTCGTAACGGGTAAATTTATATAACACTTATCTCCGATGAAATGCGAACATATGTTAATTTCAATGAACACCGGAGCACCTAACACGTACTATATACCTGCATATAACTATTAGTACTTAACGTTTCATGTCAAATACTGTACGTCGTAGAATTTATTACTTTTTTTTTTATGATTTTTATAAACAATAGTACAAGTCCCTACGTAAGTTGTTCGATGAGCTATTTATCTAATTTTGATATTGAAATTAATGAATTAATTAAAACCGTAGTTTTTTTAATTATTATTTTTTACTTATTAGTAAAATTGCACCATTGATTAAAAAGGATTGCACATTACATCCGTACGAGTCTCTCAGTGGACATCTTTAAGTGTAGGTGCAGTAAATTTTAAAATGTAACACCTTGGTTTTGTTAAATAATTCGATAAGACAATACGATGTATATAATACACTTAGTAAGTTTCGTTCTGCAGTTTAACGTGTGCACACGCGTTCCATTCGTAAGCAACAACTTTTGAACATTTCAACTGTGAAGCGGATTCCTGTCACCATTCATTACGTTTAAATACATTTGCCGAGTCCCTCCAGTAATACGACCTTTTGATAATAACACGATGGAATATACTAACATCTGAGCTGCCAAACGATGTGCTCAGTGTATGTATTATTTCAATACATTGTTAAATCTACAAAAGCAAACTACTTGTGTTTTAACAGGAAAGAGAGTATTCGTTGTGCAGCCACGGATTTTTATTGAAATTACACTTCGGTAACCACGGCCAAACGGTTAATCGAATATCACGGTATAGTTGGCGGAAAAACAGGCATATCCGACGAGACCGAAAACGAATCCGCACAAATGTCTTTTATTCGGCGTTACATTTAAATGACCTTATCTCGACGGAACAGATACACCAATATTCGGCCCTGGTAACCGTGCACCACTCGTGCGACTCACTTAAAAACATCTAACCCCTGTGTTTTACATACGTATTATGCATCGTATATACATATTATATACCCACGGTTTAACAGCGCTTAAATATTTAAATACGCTTAACAACCTATGCAAGCGATATGTAAAACGATAATTTAAGTGCGTACATTATGGTAATAAGCAAATGTTCCAAGTTCGTGTACCCACGTTCTACCGCCGTACGCAGCAGCATCGTCGCACGAAAATAGAATCGAAAAATAACATCGAACCGACCCGGCATGACCTTGTTTTTTTAGCCGTATTTTAAGTCGTAGCGAAAACGATCGATCGCAACGATCCGCGCGCTACTCCTCTAGAATCGTTATGGCGTTATCGCCAAAGTCAACTCGAGGTGTTACGAGGCGTCTATGTTCACGATTATTCGGTAATACGAGTACGATTTATACCAGCCTTTGACGACGAATTATAGACGAATCGTACACGCGGGGAATCGAATAAACGCTAACCGACGTTCCCGAGAAGAGTTTTCGATGTGAGGCGACATCGTGCGCCTCAGTGGCATTATTTACGGGGGGAGGGGGGTGGATATGTCACGGTTAGAGTTCAGTTATTCCGAATTCGGTGCATCGTCAGAATTTATACACGTATTTTATGTAAAGCCGTCGTGAATCAAAAAATCGGACGTGTGCTCACGTCAAAAGTACCAATCATGTTTTTTTGACCGGTTTGACGTTGGTAAAACGTTTCCCGCCGAGTCGGAAATGCAACAAGACCGTGCTACCCCCCCCCTCGTACAAAACCCTGAATGTACGTATCTAATCGTTAATCGTCTAACGCGCTAATCCGATGGAAAACGTGGTGGCCGTACCGACGACGGGGGACAAAACGCACCGCAGAGCGACGTTACGGCAAAACGATGATTGGTCACGCGACGCATCCGACGACAATGCCGTTGTTCGGCCAAATTTGTCACCCCACCGTGATCGGAAGTTTTGATCGTCGCGCGATTGATCGTTGCTGTGTTCTCCCGTTGAGGACGCGCTGCTAACAACAACAATAACTCTGTTCGGCACCTCCCCGCCATCCGGTTACACGAAGACCCGATTCATCACGGCGCACGGTCTGCTGCAGACGTCCAAGGGCACGCGGCCGTGCACAGGTAACCGGTGGCGACGAGGCCTACAAACGTTCCGCGTCCGTCCGGTGTCGTTCGTGAATTCCCTACCGGCCCGTCGGTCAGTACGTGCCGTGAACTTAAACCGTTCGTGTCGACCCGCAGAGAAGTCCGTCCGCAACAGTGAGCACACGCACGCACACACCGTGAGTACCTACCACGCGTTACCTGTGGCATAAGGGTTCCGTGGGACAATCTTAAGGGTATTCCGCGAGGCGTTTACGAATATTGAGAACGGTAATTGTTGTAAATAATAATCATGGACCATGTTTAAAACATTTTTTTGGAGCGTAGGTTTTACAACAAATGTATGAAAAATTGTGGTCAAGTTGGAGTGATAGAGACGTTGGGGCTCCACGAAACAAAAAATTATTCCTAAGGGTTCGTAGGTCGTCCGTGGTAGTAAAAGTTTGGGAACCGCTGACCTATGCCATAGGGCACTGGCCGAGCTAAATCCCCGTCGACCGGCTGGCGGTTTCACCGTTTTAGATATAAGCGATTGTTGAAATGTTTTCGGTAGAAACGGGCACGCGATGTCGACCGTTCCGACATTTGTTTTCGTTGGCTTGTAACCCGTCCGCGTACACTTAGATGCCTACCTCGTGACACTTCGTGACTGTTGACACCGACATGCAGAAAAACTAAATCGTTCCGTGTCGACTAAGAATTGGAAAAAACATCGCATACGTTCAGCTTAAATCCATTTCGACCGTTAAAAATCCCTTTTCATTGACAATCTACATCAGTAGAAAAACCGTCGTGTCACGTTCCGAATGCACGCGCACTGTTTGTCGTTCTTAGACACGACTATCAGCGATTGGGTGAATTGGATATTTAAATGTTGCAAACATATTATTTCACGGTCAGCTGTAATTTCACAACGAGTTTATTTCTATTTCGATTGTTTTTTTTTTAGTATGTACAACGTTTTTTGGGGTATTAAATTTGAATGTAAACCCATTAATTTTACAATGATAAGGTCTTAATGTATGTTACACATATTGTATTTATTCCGGTTACTTATACTAAATGCCTTTGGAGCGGATCGGGATTTCCCGAATTTTCGTCACTTACTAAGAAAAATATTGTGACACCCATTTTAAAGTCATTTTTTTCAAGTCTGTAAATAACTATTTAAACTTAATTCAAAAACTTAACTTAACATAAACTTAACTTCTGACACATTCAATTCTTGTGTCAATATTTAAAGTGTAAAGAAATCAATAAAAGTGTACATACGAGTAGAGTTTATGATACCGATAAACATATTAAACACTTTAATTGATCTTAAACGCCACAACTTTGAATAACATACATTATAAATATTTTTTGATTGTATACTTGAACATTTATACAAATAGATCAAATGTATAGATAAGAAGTTTATTCAATTTTATTATTTTTAAATGTGTTACAATTTTACTCGATCAATAGCTATTTTTTAATACTAAATCCTTGAATATTACTTAAACGGAGTAAAAAACACGTATTAAAATTAAAATTAATTAAAAAACGAAATTTAAATCTTATTTGAACTTAAAATATTTGAGAATTTAATAGATAAAAAGTATAAAAACAGAAATGAGTGATTGTTTAAAAAAAAATTTTTTTATATACATAAATAAATTATATATAAAAATAAACTATACCTGGTTTATTTATTATTAAATTTGTAATATATGACCGGTTTTGAATTAAAAATTCATCATTAAGTTTACACAAAATCAATAAAATCATGATATAAATTATAAAATAATTTAAAATAAAATTTGTTTGACAAAAAAACTAAGTTTTATACTTTAATCAGTAGGACTAGAATTATATACGAAATATTAATTATAAATTATAAACATTAATTATAAAATATACTATAAAACATTCATTTTCCGCATTTTTAAAATCAAAATATGCAATATTAATAATATAATAATAATATTCATTTTATTCAATATATGCAATAATATGCATTTTATCCAAAATATGCAAAAACATGTAAAATAAAAACACTACCATATATCTCACCATGAGTTGATTCGCGGACATTACTGAAAAAATCAATAATCGAAAGTAGCAAAAAAAAAAACATGCTGTTGCATACAAGTCCTAGGTCTGATTATTAATATATTTAGGTTGGGCATATTATTTATACACTATAGTATTAATATAAATATTCAGTTTATGTTTAAGATTCATGCCCCTGTTGTTAATATTTTTTTAGATTACAAAGAAACAATATCCATATAATTAAAAATCATGTTACTTGATGAATTTCTTTAAAGTAACCGATTTCATCAGAATTTTATTTGTAGGCTACAAAGAAAAAACTTGTGAAGAATATTGGGTTACATGTTCAAATTTAAAGATATTTATTAAAATTAATTTTAACAATATTTTATACTACAAATATATTGCAAATTTCTACAATTTTTGTTGAAGTTTAAGATTCAAACGTTCATAAAAAAAAATGAAGATAAAAGGATTTTCAATATTTTTAAACAAAGAAGAATAAATTACTCGTATAATAAACGCACTATTAAATCTTTAAAAATTGTTTGCTAAATCAATATTATGTTACATCATTATTTTACGAAACTAAAAACTAATAAAATATGAACATAGTATTTATCTATAACAATAGCTCAAACAGTTTAAAATATTTTGATAGTAAAAATATCACTAGAGATCGATAACTTGAGTATTCAATGAAAATATTAGAATTTTTTTGATAATTATATTTTGAATTTCTTAAAAAGAAAAAAATTAAAAAAATTAATGTTTCGAATAATTCTTTCGATCTAAATATTATGCACTACTGAAAAAAAAACAACACACATCATTGTTAAACCGAAACATTATTCATTGGCTAAGAAACAAAAAAAAAATGTTTACTCAGTTTTGAATTGTTCATATCTTTAATTAAAAATACATTAAAATCAGTTTTTAACAATTTCTTCTTTGCAAACAGTTAGATAATCTAGATTAATTGAAAGCAAACAAGAAAATTCAATTTATGCATATTTTTTTTTATACATACGAAATTGTATATTGTTAATTTTAAATGTAAGTAATAAACAGTGTTATTTACAGTATTATCATTAGACAAATAACAAGTAGGTGTGTAATTTGTTACACAACCAGTAATTGAAGGTAAACTCAACTGCTGTATCAATGAAATGAAATTACAAATATTTTATGGCTAACTAAGTACAACACACTTGAATCCATTGAACTCAACAATAATAATTAAATTAATTAAACGAATAAAAATGCGTAAGAATAATATACATATATTGTGTACCAATGCCATCAAACGTAGTGCTGGCATAAATTAACGTGTTGAAACCCGATGTCTACGGATGTCAATAGTAACATAATATACCAAATCAAGTTGACTGAAAATCATTAATACGTTGGTAATTGATTTATTCACTAATTTTTTTGTAAAGTTATGCAGCTCAATTTCATGATTTTCAATTTATAAACACATGTGCGTAATGTGTGTATGATACGATCGTTCACAAAAGCATTATTTTATTACGACGAAAGTACGGGCATGTATGTTTATTTCTTCCATCTCAGTGTAATCATTTTAATGAAAAAAAAAAGGACTCAATCCCCAAAAGAATTTCTTTAATATTTATCGTATAAATTAGTGTCAGCTAAATGTTTAATAGAATACCGTAAATTATAATTATAGCAGAAATACAGGCAAGTATATATAACATATAGGTTAAAAATCGCACAAAATTGTCAAATATTCACATAATATTTATTTTTAATCATTCATATCATATTAATCAACATATTCTTCATTCAGTTATTATTCAAATTATCATATTAAACAAAATAAAATATTTCTTAAAGAACTGAAAAGTGAAATAAAGTTTTTGGGCATTAAAATGCTATATTTTCTTATTTCTTATTAGTCTTATACCTATTACACAAGTAATTTACCTCAATATTTCAAATTAATTGGTTTGTTAATCTTAGCTTTACACTGATTAATGGATCAATGAGTTGTAGGTGCAAATAAATATTATACCATTAAATATATATATATATATATATATATGTATATATAATTAAAACTGATTACGAAAGTATGTTATTACATTTTTTAAAAAAATACAATGCACTTCAAAACACATCGGATGCAAAAAAAAAATGTGTGTCAAACCATAGTAAGGTACCTATATAATATTTAATCAGTATTAGAAAACTAACATTTCTGATTATTATGTTTATAATTGTAATATATAATAAATTAAAACTTATATCATACCGATATAATGCTTTGCATTTAATGAAAATTTTGATTTACTTAGTTTTTTCCAGATGGTTGCCCAAAAATGCATTATTTCATATTTTTTTCGTATTTCACTGACATTAAATCAAAATCAAAAGTGAATTATGATATAAATCAAAATTTGATTAATTTTAAGTTGGCATATTTTTAAATGTCTATCTCGTTAAGTTACCCTACTCTGATTATAATATAAAAGCTTCACGTACTTGCTTGCTTGTGTGTGTGCAGAAGTCAAAGAGAGAAAAATAATAAGCAAAAAATTATACAGTACAGGATTCCGCTAAAATTAAAACATTTATACATAAAAGTTACACTCGATATTATAATGTATTACATTAAAACCTAATTATTTTTAATAAAAAATAAAAAATTTTCTCAGTTTATACATGTACTCGTATATTGATTCTCATTAGTATACAAACAAAAATAAGTTGAAAACATAATATTATAGTTTTTATTTTTTTGTTCTGGAATGTATAAAATGTATATATGATGTATGATGTATACATGGAATGTATAAAATATATAATGGAGAATTTCTTAAATTTAATTAGTCTTCTATGGAGGCTAAATTAACATTTTTTTTTTACTACATTATTATGACGTATTGAAGTGTTATTTTTCGATATCTCGTGCCAACTGACGCTAACTATTTTAAAGTCGATCTAGTTTGATGGTCATAGGTCAGATGATTTTCAACGATACATATATCATTACATATATACATAAAAAGATATATATATATATATATATAGAGAGAGAATTTATAAAAAAGCGATTTATATATGAGAAATATGTGTGTAATTTAATACATTTTTATTAATCCTGTCGTTTGCAGAATATAATATCATAACTCTCGGTTGCTTTTTTACGCAATCCACTGCGGCTTATTTCCCGTGGACGGTTTGAACGTTAGAGTCTGGCCAACCCT